AAACTCTGTTAAACCGCAAAACCTCCTGTCCGCGTCTGCTTTGGGGTCCAACTCAAGAACTAAGCCTAACAGACAGGATCAGATGTGATGACAGCTGGCAGAACCAATGGGATGTCACACTGAGACCTGAGTTACTGAGTCAAAGGGCACACACGCACGCACACACACACACACACGCACACACGCACACACACACATCTTCAGCACCTGTCAGAGCTCGAGCCTTAACCATCAAAACAAGACAGATAATCTAATGAAGTTAGACAAGCATAAATTGTCAGAGTGTGTTTGTGTGTGTGTGTGTTTGTGTGTTTATAAGGGCTCAAAATCTGAAGTGGACAGTATGGTGCATTTACTGCAACAACACACTGATGTGGCTGCTGGGGAAGCCTCATTTTTTTATTTCACAACTGCAGGGGAAATCTCAAACCTTGTTTTCTTTCCAGATGTCAGAAAGCATAAGGCCTTGTGTTGCAGCTCGCTGACTGGAGCAGACAGCAGGCAGACACACACCAGTAACACAGTGGAAAATAAAACCAATGCTATACTAATTAGTGATATAATACTGACTCTAAATGCTTTCACATTTTCTCTCATGTTCATTACTTACCACAGCCTGTTTCGATGACTGTGGTCTGAGGTGGTAATGATGTGTCACTGTGTGGTTGCAAACTTGGAGCCTCTGAATTAGCCAATATTTGGGGGCCTTAGGTGGAGACAGCAGATATCTGGACCAAGAATCCACCGTCCAATCACTGTCTACTGTTTACAATCCAAGCAGTTTTTTTTCCATACAAGTCTAACATTCATAATATGTTTTAGGTAAATTTACCAACCTCTATTAACAGCTATCTACATATGAATGCAGAAATATTAAAAAGCTGATGATAGCCAATGCCTTTCAGTCAATTCTTGATCTCCCCCAGTTCCTTTTGAATCTGAGCCTCCTCCTGTTCTTCTTGTTCTCTCTGAGCCAGTTCCTGCTGCAGGCTCGCCTCCAGTGCTATGAATGCTTTCATGCAACGCTGCTTTCCTGTGAATCTTCTGAGGAGCTACAACTCCCGCCTGAGTCATTTTGAACATTCATGAAGTTATGGTAAAAGAACTATTGGAAAATATTCATATTACATTATCTAATTTCTAATTTAATAAGCATAAGAAACATAATGAACTCTGATTATATTACACAACTCTTATGGTTTTGGTTTTAATTAATTTCAACTTTGTTTTGGAAGAAATATTCAGATAAAGTGAAAGTACCACTACAATATTGTAAATTTCTACTTAAGTGAAAGTACAAGCACTATAGCACTATAACAATGTGAAGTAGTTACAGCAGCAGTTACAGTGGCTCAGTAGTACAGTGGTTGAAACTGTCTCCTAACAGAGAGCTCTGGGTTTGAGACCCTGTGGGTTTTTCTGGGTACTTGGGCATAGATTTGAGTGTGAGGATCAATGGTTTGTTTGTTTGCCCTTTAAAGAATGATGGATTGGTGGATAGTGGATGGATATTTCTTTTGTCACACTGTTGATTTATTAAAATACAGTACATCATCATATCATTAATAATCAAGCATCAGCCTGTTAGCAGCATGTTATTGCTGTAGCTGGTGCCAGTTTGAATTCCTTTATGTACAGTGCGTACATCCACAGAGACACTAGCTAAATCTGACAAGCTTTTGGGTGAGATACCATCTGAGCATTTGTAGAAATAAAATGGGTTTTGGGGGAAAGAAATCACAACTTGATGGTGTGATTCAAAACTGGTAGACATCTAAAATGTGACACTGACTAAATGCCCGAAAGGTTGAAAACCACTGGATTAATCTGTAACAATATGTTGTAATGTAATAGCTTGTTATATTATACATTAGGTAAAGTCTCAGTCTTATAAGAAACTAGGACTAAAGCTGAAGTGTGATTTTGACTTAAAAAAATAGTGTCAGTTAGAAATTAGTTTGCCGCTGTATGGTTATTGTTGTGTGCTAACATAGCTTGGTTAATGTTTTTACCAATATTACCTGCTCTAGGATGTTCTGTAGTCTCTCAGGCTCCAGATCGATGACGTATTTCTTCTCTTGACGTCGTTCCAGGTCCTCGAGGAGCCGGCGATACGCTGCCTCATTGAAACTCTCCACACAGATTGCACTCACCTGAGTGAACATACATGAATGAATGCGTGTATATACATAAACAAGCAAACGGCATGTAGGCACACGGTAATGGAAGCAAGCAACCACAAAAATCAAAATGTAATAATGTGTATGCAGCATACGTGGTTGTGTCAATTGCATAAGTATGCTGCAGGAGATTATGAGGGATTTTGTGTTTGTTTGGTCTGTTTCCAAAAATGCACGTGTTTGTGTGTGTTCTGACCTGCCATCCATTCTGCCCTGCTCTCTCCATAATTGCCTGCAGTATTGCATAACCTAGACAACAGGGAAGAAAGGAAGAAAAAAAGAGAAAGAAAGAGTTAGTGCTGTACTAGGTGGAGGCTATATTGGGCCAGATAAGACTTATAGGTCAAATCAAGGGGAAAGAATATGACAATGAATGATAACTCAACATGACAGTAATATTTGTTCATAATACTGGCACACAGCGTATTTTTTTTATCACAATGTAATTGTAATCCGAAACATGCACCATAAGATATTACGGGAGTTGGATACAAATTTTATAAAATGTCGCAATTCACCCAAAGTCACATGCACGTGAAGAGAAATTCACAGATCGACAGAGCAAACGCATAAACCACAGTGACACATGTGTGCAACAACACAAAATCTCTCGCTCACACACTACAGTGCAATGTTACCCTGTATTTTCTATTTTTGTGTGGAAGCTATTTACTGGTTCAGTTGAAGCAAAAAGCACATCTGAAGCCTCAGTAATCATGGTGTGGAAGTGTGTGTGTGTGTGTGTGTTTTATTGTGTGTGGTAAAGTAAATAAGTGGAGCCTGTCTTTCTTTGTGTTGTGGGATTGTGTTTTTAACTTCCCAGTCTTACCAGTGATAAAATACACAAGTTTAAATGACTGTATTTGTGTCAAGGGTTGAACTTGTCTGTGAGCTGTTTATGTGTTTTGGTGTTCCATCTGTGCTTACATTCATTCAGGCACGCACATACATTTATCTACTGGAAGTGAATTTATGCATATCTGGATATGTATACGTGTGTGTGTGTGTGTGTGTGTGTGTGTTTCTGTGGAGAAGAGCAGAGCAGGCAGCATAAAACAGATCACAACGTTACTGCCCATTTTCCAGCACATTACCGGCAGCGGGGCCTGATGGGAGCCTATAATGAAGGGCCCTGCCTCGGCCAAGACACGGGTGAGCACAGCCCAGACTCCATGCATCCATCCATCGCTCCATTTCCCTTCTCCTTTCTCTTTCCCTCCCTTCTCTCAATCTTCCTTCTCTCTCTGCTATACACGACTGTATATCCCCAGAGGTTTGTGATCCTGTCCGTCCCCCTTTCTCCCTCCACTGCCTCCCATCTACCTTTCCAATCTCCTCTTCTCATCTCATCCCCTCTTCACCTTGCTTGTCTCCCCCTCCCATTTGTTTCGCATGCTGTCTTTACCTATTTCTCTCTTTTTGGCTGTTCCACAAGCTCCGCTCACCTAACCTGTCTCCCTTGCTCCCCCTCTCTCCTTCTCCTTCTCCCTCGTCTCCCCCCTGGGTACTAACCCAGACAACCTAGACCAGAGGGAGGCTGGCAGAGGCACAGACAGAGCACACCAAACTACACACACACGTACACTGTGCGCTGCTCACTGATTCCCTGACATGCCACTATTCTGTGGTCTGGGGACGCTGCGTCATGTTTGACCTGTGTGCCTCTCCCTGTGGCTGGGAATTAGACTCTGTTTGTGTGTCTGCATATGTGCGTGGCAGAGAGAGATACAGAGAGAGAGAGGGGGGGGGGGAAACTAAGAGAGAGAGATAACGTGCCAAGAATTCCCATGAAAGCAGTTAGAGGCTGAGGCTGTCAGCTGTGCCTGCCTCACATGGTATGTGGGATGGTTAAATGAAAGGTAGGTTAACACTACATGAGTTGAGGCCGACCCCAAGATTCTGTCTAAAAAGTGCCAAATTACACCTTTGTTTATGCAGCTGTATCTTTCCATTAGGAAATAGAACAGCTCTTGCCTTTGTGCTTAATCTGTGAGAAAACAAGGCTACATTTGGGAGTTAAATCAAGGCTAGACTTTTAACAAGATGATCACAACTCGATTATACTCTAATATTGTTTTCCGCGTGCCGTTTCCAAATCGAGCCCAAATTAAGGGCCATATCTTCATGCAAAAAAAGTGTTTTGAACCAGACTAATTTGGAAATCTATTTTAATCTTCTGTAACAGAGTTTTGAATTAAGGCCCAGGGATTGAAGACAGCAGATCTACCCAGTTAGCTCTTGTTATCACAGCAGAGCTTATGAATCTCTGGCAGTGCCATCAGAACACAATGCTGCTGCACTCTTACTCAATTTAACAGTTCGATTACAATGACAGTAGACTGTAATACTCTAAATTACAGCCTCTTTTAGGATATTTTTTCCCAAATCCCTCTGACATCTCTCTTTAAAGCCCACAAGTAAGAGAAATGGAGTAGAAAACAGATATATATTTATATATATCTATATCTATAGATATATATAAAGTGATGTCTTAGTTACAACAAAACTGGTGGAATTTAAAAATGAATAAATTGTTTCAGTAGTCATGCATTTCTGTCCCTCGGCCAGAGAACTCACTGATTAAAGGCTCATTGAGGCTCAACATCAAAAAATGAACAGAGAATTATGTTCTGCGTTTATTTTGTCTGTATTTTGCACGAAAGATTATGGATGTGGATGAAACAGACAAAACAGAGCAGTAACACCGTGAATTCTGGGGGGGCAGTGTAGCTAATAGTTCAAGAGAGACGGTCATAGGACACGAGAAAGAAATTATTACAAGGAAAGAAAGAAAGAACTTTTTAAAGAGAGTGGGTAAGAAAAATAACGGCATTTAAATAAAGGTACATTATCGCAACCTCCTATACCATCATCATGTTAGTTGTTGTTTGAAGCTCTTGACTCAATGCTGCCCTCTAGTTGATGTATAGCTTGCATGCTATGCAGATATAAAAGATGCATGAAAGTTTATGGGCAGTGACGGCTACATGGTGTGAAACGGACGCATCTCTTCTCATACGGAAAGGCAGCATACTTTTTTTTACCATTTTGCACTATTATATTATATAAGGACCAACCAGCCTCAGTTGCTTCACTGCATCTTTATAAGCCAAGTCAAAACATAATTATTTTGTGCAAAGTGGTCAAATTCTGGGGCATTTTCTTTCTGTACCAGCAGCTCTTTGATAAAATATGAATTTACCTCTGTCTGTGTCGTAAAGGAAGACAAATCGGCTCCAGTCGTAATGGTCCAGCAGTGACAGCAAAGCCCCTCTGATGGACGGCCGGAGCTGCAGGGTGAACTGGCCCTCTCCTTCGGTGGGGAAGCTGGGTGTCACCAGGCTGATGTGCAGGGCCCCACAGAACGACGTCAGCGTGTTCACCGAGCGCTTGTCGTAAAGGCCGAAGATGGCAAAGACCCCCCTTGAATATTGAGAACAGACTGATGTAGGGATGTGAGAGAGGAGGAGAGATGGTGTTGGGGATAGAGGGATCAGGAAGGAAGAAGAAAAAAAAAGAGATTAAATTAAAGTAAATCAGAAACAGACATCTAAAGTTTTTCAAAGCTTTGTATTGGTTTTGTAAAATAACAGAGTAGAAACAAATGAGCAAATGGTCCTTTAATCTGTGGAATCTGGTTAAACATGTCAACATATTGAATGAATCACAGCTCCACCATGTGTCAGCTTTAATATTTCATTCCAAATTAGACCACAAACAAGACAACTTTTATTTTATCCGAAACAATAAGATTAATGTCTTTCTCCACCAACTCACATGTAGCTATGAAGCATGAGCCCACACATGTGCACGCAGATGTGGAGAAATCAGGGACTGCATAAAAAGATGGATGACATGATGGCACCCCATAAATGAAGCCAAAGAATCTCAATCGCCACCTGGTGGCTGGCTGCATTATAGCCAATATAAGCCTGTCTCCTCCATGTTGAGAAATGTGGATGGGACATGGAACAGAAAAAAGTCAAAATACACGTCAAAAATTCAAATGGTGTCTGTCATTAGCCTATATGTTGCTTTTATCACTCTGACGGATTGGTCAAGTGCGTGTTACTTGATACTCAATGTCCAGCAGGGCACAGCACAGATCAGGCTGCACATTTGCAAGAAGGCACCGTTCATACCCGCAACACTCCAGCTTCATTTCTAGATAGCGAGAGGAAGTGGAGACGTGTCGTCCATCTTTAAACACAGTCTACAGTAGAAATCAAACTATACTAAAAGCCCCTGGCAAGCAATTTAAAAATGTTCTTAGTAGCATAAAATCAATCCCACTGGCCAAAACTGGCACGGCTGCTTATACAGCAGTTAAGGACATTACAGTCAAATAACCCCACCTGCTTAGAGTTTAACATCCTTAAGATTCATCTATGCATGGACACACTCACGCACGCACACACACTCACACAAATAGATAATAAACCCTTGACTGAGTAGCGAGCTCCAGTCATTTTCCACTACAACATTGCAACTCAGTCTTCAAACACCCTGAAGCTTTCATCCATGACAGAGAGGCACTGACGTTCTGCACTATCTTGCTTCCACAAAAATTGTCAGCTGCTTTGGTTTGACATTTATCTGCACTGGTCCACCCAAAATATGTTTGAACAAAAATAAAAGGGGAAAAAAAACTTGATATTTTGGGAAATCAACCAAAATGTGCACAAAACTTTCCAAGATTTAAGCAAATGGCATTTTTTATTTCACAGCATCTCTTTGTAAGCTTCCACGCTCTTTCATCCTTTTATTCCCACCCCTCCATTCATCCTTTCAGCAAGATTCTTTCAGACAGGCGTGTTTTGAGCGTGATTCGTCTCTTGCGTCATGGTTCACAGTCCGGCCCACATGTTATATTTCACACTGGTGTAACCATTAAGACAGACATTGCTTTTGGCAACAGCCCGGGCATTACAGCTTAACCTTTTCCCTCTTTCTCCCTCTCTATTGTGAATCACGTCATTTCAGGCCTTTTTCTCTCTTGCTTCTCATTTTCAGGGGAAGACGCTGCATCCATCCCGACTTTCTGCTCCCACCATCCACATTTCTGCGTCTCCTCCACTACGAATGCCTCCTTTCCTCTTTCTCCCTCTCTCCCTTCTCGTGGGACTCAGAGTAATTCCATTGTCAGCTATAAGCCTCCGCGGGGCTAAACACTGAGGGAGATGCAGCTTTTGACGGTTCGGCTTGTGGCAATTAAACAAAGTCAAGGCCTCTGCGCCCAGGAAGCGATAAGGCAGGGATTTAGTCTCTGATTATGACAGGAGCTAAATGTCTTCAATTCAGAGTACTAGCATACTATGCACTTAGCATGCGTCATTCAGAAGGAGCTGAGTCACGGTGTCCTCAAAGTCAACGTACTTAGTGTCTTCAGAGATGATTTTTTTTATGGCTTTTCTCGCTTTTATTTGACACCTCAGAACATAAACCAACATAAAATGATGGAAAGATTGTTACAGAGATGAGACTGCGTGTGATAAAGTACTTAATGGCAGGTGCTATACTCAACTGAGACACCAGAACACTACAGCATGCACAAAGATGTTTACGCTGCATCATTGAAGCTGAAGTTATAATTTAGTGCTCAGAAGGTGAGAGGCGAACATTTATCTAAAATCAAAATAACAGGGAAATGATGACACTTGTAGCAAACAGCGAAACACGCAGGGAAAATTATACTTGGCATTTATTTATGATGGCAGCTTACTGGACAGAAAAAACTTGGCTGAGAGAAATTATGTCATTAAACTGTCTAAGGACAAAAAGAAAATCAACATACAATTGAATTTCTTTGACAACAGCGTCATGGAAAATGCAATTCCCTTGATTTAAATTAATTTGCGTTTGCGGGATCAGCTGTTCTGGGGAGCGGAGCAAAAATAGAAGAAAGCAGAAAGCATTGCACATGTGAACTGACATACTGGGAAACAGTCTGGCGTGCTGCTCCAATGCCAACTTTTGACTTTGACATTTTCTTTTCACTTTTTTAAACTAATACTGGCCTTGATGGAGTTTTTGACATCACTGTCTGCAAATTGTATTTCTCACCCACCTCCTGGGCCTCCATCACAACTAAAGGAAATATTGACAGCCTTAATCCCCAACCATTCTATTTTAACTGCAGTCGTACACAGGCCCAGAGCACATAACAAAAATCTTTATATACGTCTTATTCTTCATTTATCTGCTCGTTCTTTCTGCGCTTCCTTCCCCTGTCCCTCGCCTCTTCACTCCCTTATTGCCTTATTTTCTATCTCTGCCTTCTGATCCTGCCTCTCTGACTTGTTCATCTCCCATGTTTCTCTGTCTGATGCACCTCTCGATGGGCTTGTTTCTCCACAACACCCTCCATCGCTGTCACAGCCGCAAGGCTAGAATGAGCCAGGCAGTGGCGTCATTGTAATAAAACGTGCGCTACGCTTGCTTCATAAACCTTTAATGAGAGGAGTGGACCGGCAGCATGGTGCATCATCGCCACAGTAAAAGCATCGGACACAATAGCTCTCCAGGGACATCCTCTACCTCTACCCTCCACTGCCTCCTCTTGCTTGTTCTCTCAGCATCTCCATATGTTCGATTGTTTTGTGTGCAGGTTTGTGTCTTTTTTAGGGCTCTTAATTGCTCGCTCTGTCTGTCAAGCTGCTCTGTCTTTGCACAGACTTCTTCATAAATCTTTCTCAGACAGCTCGTTTTTTTTATCTGCATAACTCCACACAGCATGTCCAGCCTGCATCCTTAATGCATCTCTCTCTGCAGCTGCACCTGCCGCTCGCTGATTCACTTCATCTGGAAAGCCCTCTTATACATTTTACCCTTTGTTTTCAAAATGAGATTTATGTTCAACTTGCATAATGGGGAAGACATTTTGTTGCCTAAGTTATACAATACTTTAGAGACTAATATCTTAGTTCTCTTATGCTTCTCTGGTGTTGTTTTCATGTTAGAGCATCAACAGATACTCAGTTAAACCTGCTACTGATTTCATTGTCACTGAACAGCAGCACAACATAAAAGGTTGCACATACACACAAACACAACTTTACAACTTTCTTGTCCTGGCATTGCTCAGGGTTACAGTGTAGCACAGGCCAACTAGAAGATGAGGTATATTCGATTAATATGCTTTATGAGCCACATCATTGGTCATCCACTATCAAGTGCTTTACACTGGCATTTCACATTGAATCTATTGACAGTAGTAACCAATAGAGAAGCAGCCCCTGTATATTTTGCTTAAGCTATGCAAAAAATGTCCGACCTTCACGCAAAAAAAGGTGTAGTGGAGCATTTAAGAACAACAACAGAAAAAGATAGATCCAAGACAATCTTCACACAGTTAAAAAGCCTTTAGTCAAATGACTGTTTCATAGTAAAATGATACAAACATGGACCATAAATATTAAAATGATATTACGTTTGACCAGGACCATGGCTTAAATGTCCATAAAGGGCCACAGGATCTTTGCCCTCTCTTCAGTTTATTCTTCAGCTCACTGCAAAATGGACACTCTGGTTTACTTTGTCACAGCAGCATTCTTGCTAGCTGTGTAAAACCCTTTGAAAAGGATAATAAACTCAAACTGGAATCTTATCAAGAGTGACTCCTTTCCAACCCCTTCTAAAACATTTTCAAGGGGTTCCCTACATTACGGGACCTCTTACAGCCAAGACATCTTCCTATGTAGAACAAAAAATCTACATGGCATCATCGACCATTAAAGTTTACTTATAAATGTGTCTTTTGCAACTATTGCAATATAACATGAAAGAATGTAGACAATTCAATTACTTAAAGTGCTCTATCTTAAAAACCTAAGCACATGGCCTGAAGCCCACAAAGCAAGTGTATTTAGTCCAAATCCACTCTACAAGAAATGAAAAAAAAATGTGAGAGCAGAGTGCATTGTCATCTCTCCATTGATCATGTGTGTTTTAGTGTAACACACAATACTCTAGGGTGTCATCTCACATTCCCTTTAAAGTTTGACCAATGTTAATAGAATAACAGATTTTCCTGCAGTAAGAAAGCAGGAGCAGCGATTTGCTCTTGTGCAAAGCAAATACATGCGAGCAAACCAACTGCAGCAACAGCTGGATTCCACCGAGGCTCCCTGAAGTGAAGGAGGCACTTGAGCATTCTAGCACAGTGTTAAGCCCTCTACTTAACATAACACAACCTTTCGTGTATATTTAAGACAAGATTGACAAAAATAGTAAAAGCGCAACTCTGACACAGCAATAAAAATCAGACTCTATCCATAGATATGCTAGCTAATGATTAGCACAATTTGAGGCCTACATTCCAAAAAACACAACAGCTATTTGTTATAGGTCTAAAATTTTAATAAAATACAAGTGTTCCACGCAATAGCATACGAGGCAAAAGAGGATATATTGAAAACTGACTGCACAAATACTAGTGCTACA